CTCTTCCAGCATTTGCTCAGGGTGTTCCTCCAGCTTGTGTACAAGTTGCCATGCTTCAGTGTGCAAGTGCAAGCCAACAGGACCAAGGCCTTGGGAAGGCTCATTCTCGAGGTCTGCTCCTTGTTTTTTTCTGCCAAAATCCACGTGGTTGATGACAACGTCCTACAGCACAGCGTGGAGTCTGGGCTGCTGTGGGACCACTTCCAAACCATATTGTGGCACGTCTGGGCAGGGCACAAGAGCAGCAACTGCTGGGAGCACACTGTCCTGGGGACCTGGGACAAAGAGGCATCAGAACTGGGATGTAGGGGGCCACCTTCATGGAGCTCGCTATGCATCAACTTGGCCCCCAACCTTGAGAAAATCCTGAGCACCTTTGGCCATTATTCTAATGATTCTCTTTAATGTCCTGTTTTATAACTAAATTGTAGACATAGCGGGGTGCATTTTTTTCTATATACTGTAATGTCATTACCAAATCTTCACCAGCTGCTTTGGAATAAATAAGGGGGTGAGGGAGGAGAGTAGGAGGTTAAGGAATCCACATTGTAGTATGGTATCCTGCGCCTGAGCTAGGTAGCACCAAAATGCACAGCTTTACGCAATGCAGCAGTCCAGTCTCGAGGAGGTGAATCAAACTGACTGCAGCAGTTGCTCTCATTTGTTTTTGCTGCAGGTGAAAGCCACATTCTGCGCTTTGTCTCCAACACCACCCTGAAGAACCGCATTAAGTTGACCTGGGAACGATACCGCCCTCCAGATTACAGAGACCTTATTAGCTTCACTGTGTACTACAAAGAGGCGTGAGTATATGTGTTCAGAGTCTCATGATGTCATTCAGCAGATAGCAGGCCTGGTGGATAGGATTTCTCTGTTGACCGTTGTGTTTATTGGCTGAATGAAGAATAAAGTGAGTCAGCAAAGTCCCTTGGGCAATTCTTACTCTGCTGTGTACTCACTTCATCCTCTAGCAGCCCTTCCTTACAAGGTTCTGTTTGGACAGTGTGTATAAGGCACCATGCCTCTGAAAATAGCGGGAGTTTGGGATCTGTTTTCTGACTTCTTTAACTTAAAATTCAGGGGGCATCTTCCAGTTTATGCTCGGCTATTTTCAGGGTTTCTGTTGAAAGTGCATTAGACTTTTTCTCTTTCTTCTCCTGGCCGGGACTTTGGCTTGAGAACAGCAAAGATTTGGAGACTGTATTTTATCTACTTAGGTTCTAGATTATGTAGATTATCTAACCTGGGCAGGTTGCTACAGCCACAGCTGCTGCTCATGGTAGATTTGTAGTAAGTTAGTAGAATCATAGAAAAGTAGGTCTTTGAAGACTGCTATCATGTCCTCGCTTAAGTGCCTTTCCCATAAGCTTGCCTTGCTCCTTCAGCCTCTCATTGTATGGCTTGTCTTTTGTGGCTGCATCACACTGCAGGCTCCTATTGAGTCTGTGATCCAGCAAGATGCCTAGATCCTTTCCCGTAGTTCTGCTGTCCAGTTGGTCTTTCAATACTGCGCCCTTTAGAAGCTTCCAGCCCTCCTCCGTGCTTTTATCCTTCAGTCTCTCCTCCTATTATCTCCTCACGTTGATTTAAACCAGCCTTTTGAAATCCAGTGTCTTTGTTTTGGTGACCTCATGCTTTCCCAGTGTCAGAATCATAATTTTTGTCATATCATGATCACTTCCTCCCAAGTTGCCAGTCACCTTCACATCCTCTACCAGGTCTTCCCTGTTGGTCGGGACATGATCCAAAGTAGCTGATCCTCTAGTTTTATGCTTAACTTTCTGGAACAGAAAGTTGTCCATCACTCAAGAACTTGTTCAACAGTTTGTGTTGGCTCTGTGATTCTTCCATCAGATATCTGGAAACTTGAAGTCTCCCATCAGTATAATTTTATAACTTTTGGATAATTTTGTCACCTCATTGAAGTGTACCTTGTTCACCTCTTCTTCCTTACTTGGTGGCCTATAGTTAATCCCCATTATAACAGTGCTGTATCTTCCACCTTTTATTTTCACCAAAATACATTTGGATCTGCTACCTTCTTCTTCCTGAACAGGGGGAACAAGTGTATGTATTTTTGACATACAAGGCAATACTGCCAGCTTTTCTTCCAGCTCTGTTCTTCTGAAACAGTGTAGACCTCAATGTTGGTGGACCATTTGTAAAAGATGGCTTACCCAAGTCTCTGTGGACGTTTTTACACATGGGGGGAGGGGGGTGCCTTAATTAAGCAGCTCTGAGAGCCGCTGTAATTAAACTGCCTGCAGCGTCTTATGTATCAGCATCCCTGCGCTTCAAAATGGCAATGGGGGGGCTTTAAAGCTTGTTGAATGAACTTTAGTTGAAGCACCATGGCCACCATTTTGAAGTGCGAGGATGCTGATACTCAAGACGTGGAGGGTGGCCCGGAGTGTGTTAATTACCATGCTCCAGCAGACTCGATTAATCGAGTAATTATAGCGCACTGGAGCTGCCTCCCAGCACGGCACATCTGCAGGCACCCTCTGATACCAATCAGATTATAATTCCTTTCACAGGCTGACTTCCACCTTATCTTGTTTGTTCCCCATACTTCTCACATTTGTATACAAAAATGAGAAATATTTTGCATTCTGCCCTATTCATTTCTGTCTTGCATCACTGCTTGTCCTGTGGTTGTTTGGCCATTTCTCACAGTTGGGCTTCTTTTGGTCCTTTCTCTTCTGGCTGGATTGATGCTCGGTTGCCAGAGAGTTGATTTTTATATTGGGAAGACTGATAAAATCACTCTCCTTTCCTTTTCCTGTCCTTTGTATCCAAGATAGGTTAGAAATGGAGCCAAAACTTGAATGAACACACGTGTCATTCTGTAGTTTTAGTGGAAGTAATGGAGTAAGTGAGCTGTACTTCAAAGGGAAGCACATTAAGTCATTTAGTGGCTAAGGTAGATGGGGGTGAAAGAGAAGTTCAGGACTGTTTCTTTTACATACATCAACTATGCTGTGAGAGAAGTGAACCAGAAGTTCTGGAACCATAGTATTGTTCAAATGCTTTTATTGTCACATCCCAGAGAGCCTGTGGTGTTGGTAGGATTCCTCAAATATTGATCTGTGCATACTAAATAATTATTAAAATATTGCTACAGATCACAAAAATATTAAATAATCATTCTGTTAAATAAGTGTTTATTATTTTTATTTAATGCTATATAAAATACACTTCTATTTTCCATATCTGTACAAAGAGTACAGCTTAATGATAAGGGAATGTAAAAATCTCAAGCTTAAATATTGGTGTTTCTTTAATGTGAAGAACTAGATTAGTTTGTAGACTTCTGAGTTACTCGTCAGGGCAGTTTGCGCTCTTGTGGCAAGAGTTCAGTCATTGCCAGTAAATATTTGGAGTTGCTTCTTCTTTTAGTTGCCCAGCTAATACAATGCTTCTATTAATTCAAGTCAGAAGTATTTTATTATCTGGTTTTGAAAATGGGAGAAGGCAGGCTAGTGTCAGTATCCTCAGATCAGGTTTGTCTCTCTCTTTAGCCAATGCTACTTTAGAAATACAACTATGGCCAAACATTTATACTGAGTCTATGGGGTTTTCTTCTGTGCTAATGTGCAAATTCAGTTGGTTTGTCATTACTACAAAATGCAGGGCAACCAGATACCTGTTATTGCTTTCTAGTCCTATCTTCTTAGGAGGAAATGAGGATTTTTTTGTCATTATTCTGCACAATTAGTTGCCTCTTTAGGGAAGGGATTATTTGTGTGATATTTTCCCATTGTACCATGCTAGGTCTCCTTATGGAATCAGGGAAAAAATGAAAAGCTTAGCAGGTTTGTTCTCTCTACTTCTTATTGTCTTGTGACTGCTGCTGTTTTTTTCTGCTGGCAGCACCTTCACACC